GCTTTATCTGTGCTTGTAACCCAGTCTGTCTTCATGTGTTCTGGCTATCACAATGATATTCACATATTTTGGAGAGGGGTATAAACTCCAAGGAGTCTATAAATGATTTTTATAGACTAAAACACATGCAGCAGAGATGCCCCAACCAGCCTGTAATCTACAGTCTGAAGCTGCTTAAACAACCAGCATCCCTTCTGGAAGAAATAAAGACTTCTTACAATATGCCACTGATTTTGTGGTTGTTGGATACCAAAATTGACCGTTACATGGGGCAACATTAATAGTAGGTCATGCTCTACCATTTCTTATTGGGCTAGAATATATCTATTTATAAAATGAGAAGTTTTATAGTCATTGAACCCAAGTTATAGAGACTTAAAACTCATTTTCTTGGGTATCATTTCCCAGAATTTCTAGAAAACTGGACAAACTATAACCTTTATGAAATGTATGTTAGAAAAGAAGAGAAAAAATATATTCCAGAACTTCCTGAGTAATTTAATTTTCTGTTTGGATGGTGTTCAGCACAGAACGCTGAAGATTCTGCTGAGAGGAAGAAGCATGTCAGAGATGATGGTGACTTGTCAGCTGCTAAATGAGATGGTAAAATGCTGCCTTTTTCATTAAGTCAAACATCAGGGAACTGCACTTTCCATGGTTCACATGCAGGCTCTCCTTAGTCTGAACAGTCCAAGAATAGAGTATTTTTAGTGCCTAATTAAGCCAACATTCACAAATATTAGAGAGGAATAAAAAGTTTAAATAAAAAAGAGAAATTGTTGGCCCTCCCTGGTGGCGCAGTGGGTTAAAACACAGCGATAAGAAGCTTAAGCCATTTCCGCATGAGTTCAATTCCCGCCTGCCCCGGAGGAGATCCACATGGTGAGACAGACCTCTCCTGATCTGCCGGCCGCTCCCCTCAGCGGTGTACTTCGTAGATCTGCCTGTTCTGCTTCCCTCTCTGTCTCTGGTGACTCCTCTCACCCTCCGCATCTCTAGCCTGTACCCCAGTTCTGTATGAATAAATAAATAAATATATCTTAAAAAAAAAAAAGGAAATTGCAGTGTTGATATTGGACTTCACTTTTTCCCTTTTTTTCTTTAAGTGATTTTAATTTCCAAATTAGGGATATCCTATTGTTCATGAGAGACACTGTCACATACCTTATCTTACCCTATTTTAAAATACCATAATGGCATATGATAATGAATTTGAGGCATTCACACATAAGAATCTCAGTGACCCCTTTGTTAATGTCAAAAACCTTGCATTCTAATATCCCTTAAGTTAGCACTCAAAAAAAAAAAAACAAAAACAGAAATCTCTTTAAATACCTTCTGTTCCTCTATTAGACACTTAACTTAAAATTTTCCACTGAGCCCACAATTTGTCTCAAGTTATTAAATTGCTGTTTGCATGTATGCCAAGAAATCATTTACACAAGATCATGCATTACTAAAATCAAATTTTCTAATTGGCAAAATTAATACATTTACTTGTAATGAAATTATTTTTGAGAAGGATCTTAATATACCAGTTAAAATTTGTCACTTAGGTAACATTTTTAAAGAAGGAAATGTTCTTATGCAACATGACTGAAATGCTCTGGGGAACTCTGAAATCGTTTTTTCATTAAATAGAGTCGAAATTATGTGAACAACTAGAACATTAGAAAGAAAAAAAGGAAAACAAAGTATGGAACACTGGGGAATAAGAAAATAGACTGTAAAAGGAACAGTGATTTTTTTTTTTTTCAAGGTGACCCAGTGAGTCTGGAAGAAGGGAATGTTAGACTTTTGCCAAGAACCCAAGAACATCAGAGGCTGATTTCTAAACCTGTCATTTTTAATTTATAATGTATTCTTCTTTATTCTATATGAGAAAGGGGGTATTCATATTTACTATTCTCTGAGTCTAGCACATGCTTCTTCAAGTGTTTATTTTTTTAAAAGATTTATTTATTTATACATACCAGAACTGGGGTGTATGACAGAGGTAAGAGATGGTGAGAGGATTCACCAGAGAGGGGAGCAGAGCAGGTGGAACTACTGAAATACACTGTTGCAGAGGGTCTGCTATACATGTGGGTTAGCTCCCCACATGAGGGATCAAACTTATGCTTCAATGGCTAGCAACTGCTTGATAGCCCTGTCTTTAACCTCGGCACCACCAGGGAGGCCCAGCTTCAAGCATTTATTAAATAGAATGAATGTGAAATCCTATCAACCAGAAGTAATGCAACATTAAATTATAGATGTAATCTCATTTAACCCTCTGAAACACCTCTGTTGTAAGTATTCCTGCTTTATAGATCAATTTAGGTTCATAAAGATGAAATGATTTACTCATGGATACAACAATGTGAGAACTAGAACATTTTCACCCTCCAAGCTGTTCAGTAAAACTCTCTGACCATCTTAACTCCTAAGGAAGCTCAATGAGTGTTGCATTGAGAACAAAAATGTTGAAGATAACAGCAAGATTCCTTTTGAAGAATTTAAAGTCTGCTATTGAGTTGATATTTAGAAAAATAGTACAAACTTAATGAGTTGTACATGTGGCTGATTTTACTAATTAGTTGGGAATCCAATTCAACATGTCTATACAAGATCCTTAAGATACTACTGACAAATTATTTGTCCTGGGAAGCATCTGGCAATTAAGTCATGAGAAGACTTTGAAATAATATATATCTAACACAAGAAAGCAGTCCTACTCATAAAACCACATCTTTGGACTCCAAGATACTTTATAACACTGAGTATATATTCTTTCAATAGATATAGGGAAAAAATTTATTAAGGTCAAATCACAGAATGCCTTTATATATACATTTCTGAAAAGCTTTTTTCCACCCTAAACAACCGTAGCAGAGTAGTAATAAAGTCTATTTTACTCCTAAATTGAGAATCATAAAATAATGGAAGGAAGAAGAAAATATGAACAGGGACCTAAGAAATTATGAACTCAGAATCTAAGCCCAGACTATCCAGGTTCATTCTAGGCTCTGCCTCTCTCTTTCTCTCTTGCTCTTTTTCTTTTCTTAAGATTTATTTTTGTTTAGAAGAACTAGGGTACAGGCCATAGGTATGGTGGGTGTGAGGATTCACCAGGAACTGAGTGGCGAGCAGAACAGGTATATTTACTGAAATACACTGCTACACTGCAAAGGGAAGTAGCAGAAGAGACAGCAGAGGTCTGCTGTGTCCTGCCAGTCAGCTGCCTGGCCTGGGATTGATAGCACTGAGACTTAATCCATAAGCCTCCAGGGAGAACCTTCCTTGCTTTGTCCTTAGCATGCAATTTGAGAAAGTTGTTTATCTCTTAATGCTACAGTTTCCTTCTCTCTAAAATGGAGAAAATAATAGTATCTCATAGAGTTGTTACAATGATTAAATGATTTTACACTCATTAAGTGTTTAAAACAGTTACTGGCAGGCTGTAACCTTCATACAAATGCTTTATAAATAAAGGAAGGTAGGAAGAATGAGGCACAGAATAGTAGCTGCTGTGTCTCTGATGCCCTGCTCTGCTTCTTTCCAACAGAGCCCTTTCCTTTGTGCAGCAGCATAACCACATGATTCCAACCAGTGAGCTTAACCCCATTTCCAGCGTGACCCCAAATAATTTGTGTTCAGATAGACTTTAAAAGCCCTAGTTCAGTAGGTGATTCAGCATAGTTAAGCTTCCTATTATTCTTGTCCTGACCCTGTGTCCCAGTTTTAGTCACTTGTTCCTGTAATCAAGTCCCAAACTTGTCCTGCACTTGTAGCATTCTTCTCCCTGGTGGCTGAGTTCTGGCTTAAAAATTCTGCTCAGGACTTCCAGCTCCTTTGGGGTAGAGGTCTCCTGAAGGGCTGTGTCTTTAAAGACAAACTGACAAAAAAGGGACTTTTGAAAAATTATCTATATACAAATATTGCAAACTTTTACATAAAATATATAATTTCTGACCTTTCTTGAAAAACTATTATTTGGAAACACTTGACCTCCATGTCCCCTTGGTAGTAAACCAGAGAGGGAGCTGCCTCCTTCAGAAGGTCACGTGATCTCTATTCCCTGATGTCCCTACTCCATCTGCTCTATTTATTCCTGTGATTTGCTTGGTCCTTGCACGCAAGGGTACAAGTCATTCCCTGAAAATAACTAGTATCCTCTAAGCACTTCCTTTGTGCCAACTATTCTAAGTGCTTCCCATGCTTTTCTCATTTATTCAAAGTCCAGAAATCTGTTTGTTCTTATCTCTGCTATTCTTCTCTTGCTTTATACCTTCTGTTTGTATGTACATCTGTTCCATACTCCCACCTTCCCATCAGAAAGGGTCGCTCACAAAGCCTGACTGGACCTTCATTATGCAACCTGTTCACCCACATTGTGACCTACTGCCACTAAGGCCTTAAATCTCCTGGTCTGCCAGTTCCTATCACCCAGAACTCAGGCCATCAGAGTGGTATACCAAGGCACAGACTCCCAGGCTTCACCGATCTGCCTGACTCTGTTAGCACATGCCCCACACTTTTATGGAACTATCGTTTTTATTAAAGATAGATAAGACCTTACTTTCACAAAACTTTCCTCCTATTCTGATTAGAAGCCCAACAAAATCCATTAAGTATTTATAGATCACTTTTGTTCTGAGCATTTTGTACTTATCATAGACAGTGGTTTAAATATTTCTTTTAAGCCAAAGTTTTTCCTTCTCTGCTATAGGCAACTCAGTATTCTCAGTGAGCCACATAGGAAACTAACATTATAAAAGAAATGTTTTTTTTTTTTTTAATCATAGGCCCCTGTGTTTTACAAAACAGTGAACAGAGTAAAATCTGCATAATTAAGCTGAAATTCAGCTAATAACAAAGACAAGCTCACAAAACCAATTCTTTTCATCATTTTTTAAGATTCCATGAGGTGGGTAAGGCTGAATGTTGTGAATTTCAAATTCTCTAATTAAATTACACCATAGAATTTAAAGAAAACCTTAATAAAAAATGTTACTTACATAAGGAATTGTGTCCAAAGTATCTGTATTGACGATTATAGGAGCAGGGCTGGCCTGAAATAAAAGAAATAGAAAATGGTTTTAGATAACAAGTAGGTTACTGTGAGAGAGGTTCTGTTAACTTATTTTACTAAGAGCACAACAATATTTCTTGATGATCTGTACAGGCACTGCATCAAGTTTTGGGTGGGGAAAATAAATGAAATGGCTCAGATTTTTCAGCATCTTCTTCGCTTCAAACAAAACAAAACAAAACACAATATTATAAACCTGCAGGGGAGGGCGAGGGAGGAGGGAGAAGGAGCAGAAGGAGGGAAGGAGCACAGGGGACTATGGTGATGTGCATGGTGAACTGGGGAAGGAAATTCTATGGGTTCTACACTTGATTGGGGGGAGTAAACATTATTTTAAAATTAACAATGATGTAAACATAAATAAATATTAAAAATAAATAAAAGTCTAAATATAATAAATATTGAACATAATAAATAAATAGTAAAAATGAAAACAAAATAAAACAAATGAGTGTTTGGCACATTTACAAATTAAGCAATAAAAATTACATTCACCTTTTGTTAAATTTTACCAGTACAGAAGTGAAGATTTGTGTTATGTACCAGACAAGGATTTCTAATAAATTGAATGAGAGTTAAAATCTGCTAACATATTTGTATAAAACAAGTGTGCTAAACAAATATGATTTCATTCTCAAAGAAAATCAACCATAGCCAATATTTTTAACTTTTTTTTCTAAGCTGCCTTTTGAGAATATATTGTACGCAATGAAAATAGTAGCATGTACTTACTGACATCATATCTATATATAAGCTCTCTCCATACACACACACACAGAGACATATATATATATAGATATACACACACACACACACACACACCGACACACACACATATATAGAGATATGATGTCACTAACTACATGCTATTATTTTCATTCTGTATAGATTATAGAGAGATTATATACAGAATATATAATGCACAGTGTAAGGTTTATTTTCTTTGTTATTTATGTATCTTTGGTTCCATGTTTAAGGAATCCTTAGGTTAAAAATTAGTCAAAGGTAGCAGAAAATCATATTGGATATGCTAATTTTGTCTTTTTAAAAATCTTTTTACAAATTGCAGTCATTCCCTTTAAAGTTGAGTTGAAATCTATGAAAATCTGATATAGGAGTGCTACAAGCCAAGTCATTAGAAAATAAGATTGCAATCTCTACTTGTATCACCAATCTGACTTCATGAATATTGAGTAGACCTATCTTTACATTCTTGTTTCTAGAATTTTCACAGTTTTCGCTTCATCTTCCTAAGAATCTTTAATCACCCTTCAAATGGCATGTTTTCTTTAGATAGAGGAAATATTCTCATGATTAATGGAGAGCTGTCTCATTCTACATAGTGATTTTGGCAAGCACTCAACTTTTGGGACATTTCATTAGCTGTGTCTTCTGGAATTAACAGTTACATGCATTTAAAGTCAATTCAGGCCTATGAAATCCTAATCAAATGATAAAACTAATGACAGTTCAACACATTTTATTGGGTTGCATAGTGACATTGCAATGATATGAACAATCAAGATGTTGTATGTCCTTATTCTATAACAACCCTGACACATGGGGAGGGGTAGTTGAGATACAGCAACCAATTAAAAGCATTTGTTTAACCAAGATACTGACAAAATCAGATACATTTAAGGCAAGAAGAAATAAAAACCTGGCACTCCTGAGAGGTTCCTCCTAAATCAAAATTAACTGGTGGTCCTAATAACACGTCTCTAAAAATTGGTGTACATAATGGCACTAAATTTGAGATAACTTATATTTGTGGATTCTACACCCACAGTCTGATGCCTTCTCCCAGGCTTGCTGAGAGATGCTGGAGACTCTTACCCTAAAAAAGTGCTAACTCCCCTTCTAGCAGATGAACAGATTTCAGGAACTCTCAAGTCAGTCCGCCCACTCTGCAATTATTCCTGACTTTTCCAAGAGATTCCTTGCCTTCTTCCCTTTGCTGCAATTAAGTTGTATGATTCTATCATGTAGTAGTAATGAGAATTTCCCCTATCTCTCTTTTCATGCTTACATACATTTGGCTTGACTGTAAGTGAAACCTTCTCACTCCGTGGAAATCAGCACTCCAGTGATCCCTAAAATTATATTACATTAGCTAAATACAATTCTGTGTATTAGCTAAAATCCTGACCATGGTCAACATGAACATAGTCTACTTTCTACACAGTGGATCATCCAGAAGTTCACATAACATTTATTATTGATAGTAAGTACCTATAGGTAATTAGGAACATTGGAGAGAGACAATTTCCACTGGACTCCAAAAAAATAAAAGTGTCCATTAAGCTGACTATGATGATATGGGGGAAACTATATGAGATTTGGAGTTGTAAGTCCTCCAAGACAGCAACTTCCTGATTGCATGATTTGGGGCTCACCAACTTCCCTGGTGGCCTGAGCTAGGGGCAAGTTCACAACAGCTCTTTGCTCCATTTTCTTTCTCTGTAAAATAGGAACCGAAATAATCAACTGCAGAAAGGTTGTTTGAAGAATAATGAGGTGATGTATTTGAATGTACTCTTCACTGGAATCATCAGAGCCAATGTTAAATATTAAAATAGTGTCCCTAAAGATAGACTATAATCACATGTTACTTAACAGAAATAACTTTGTAAGAAATTCACTATTAGGCAATTTCATCATTGTATGGATCTTGTAAGAGTGTAACTACCTAAATTAGATAGTATACCCTACTATACCTAGGGTACACCATATAACCTCTGGGCACCATCGCTGCATGAAACATCATCAAATTATGAGTGCACTCTAAGGACACATTATTGCGTGCTTTCTGAACTGTTTATGTTCCATAGGTCTCAAAACTATATAGCTTCAATTACACTCAAGAGAACTGATTAGATCATGTAGAATACCATTTATTCAACTCATAGTACTTGCCCGAGTATAAAAGATATGCACATACACACACACACACACACACACACACCGGTTTAATCTTCTCAAACTGATGATGATGAGATGGCATTATCAATGTTCATGAGTTTTACATGAGAAAACTCAGATTCAGAGAAAATGAAAGCTGAAATTTAACACTGGTCTTTTTCTGAACTCCAAATCAGTCTTCTCCACACTAAAGTGCTCCATGATTCTGGAATCTAGCTGAATTCATGATGAGATCTTCAGTGGCTTGTAGATTTCTAACTAGTGAAACATACTAGACCCAGACAAAGCAATGACCAATCTAAAGATAAGAGATGCTACAGGGATCACAGAATGTATTTTGCAAGTTCGTTGACCTTAATTATTTCTGTTACTGATTTGTATTTTAATTTTTTTAAAAGATTTATTTATTTATTTGTACAGAACTGGGATACAGGCCAGAGATGCTGAGGGTGAGAGGACTCACCAGAGACAGAGTGGGGTACAGAACAGGCAGATCGACGAAGTACACTGCTGAGGGGAGCAGGGTGCAGGTCAGGAGAGGTCTGCCTTGCCATGTGGATCTCCTCGGGGCAGGCAGGAATCAAACTCATGCGGAAGTGACTTAATCTTCTTAGTGCTGTGCTTTAACCCCCTGTGCCACCAGGGAGGGCCTGTATTTTAATTTTAATGAAGTTTCTCCTATACATCCCAGTTGGTGCCTATTACTCCCCCAAAGTTCTGTGCCGTGCCTCCTTGGCTAGATTTAACAATTTCTGATTATCACACATTATTATCAAACACACTTTTTTCAGTAAAAATATGATCCTTTGATTTAAGATTTTTCAATACATATTTTGTGTATTTTTCCTCTTAAAAACTATATTAATACACTCTTAGAATAAATTTTATATACAAGTACATTTCCAAAACAATGCTACTTCTCACTTTTATTTGTAGGTATAGGATGCTGTGTTCTATATCATTTATGTGAATCTGGCCTTTCCAGTCAGACTCTGTTGAAAAATGACAAATACTGTATATTTCTCTAGAATTCTCTACAGCAGAATCTCTTAATAACTATCTAGAGTTGTTGCAAGGAAGGTATTTGTAAGCTCTGGAGAACATTTGCAAGATATCACAACAATTCTTATGTTGCCAACAAGACCATCGCTATTTTTCCAATAAACTTTTATCAAGTATTTTTCTTTAACCAGTTAGTATTAGAGGCTTTTCTGATACAGAAAAATAGTATATTCCTGTGAAAGTTTCCATAAACCAAAAATGACATAAAATTAATTAGTTATCATTAATCTATATGTACATTTTTAAGCATTCCAAGACCCCCAAAACAACTGATCCAATCATACAAAAAAAAATACATACAATCTAAAATAGCACTGATATACAATAAAAGCAGGAATGGTATGATAAATATGCAGTCTGTAAAAAGCACTTTGCAGGAATGAAACTTGACAGTTCTACTCTGTCCACTGAGGATTCACACTCTTTCTCAAATGGCTGCTGCAAAACAAAAGTTGATGCAATTTTGCTTTAACCTGTTTTCAGGAAAATGGAAATCTTCAGATATTTCAATTAGTAAAAACAGGTAGTAAGACAGATACTTCATAAAATTAAATAATATACTGAAAATGTCCCCAAACTATTTTGGGGATACCTGCATTTTACTTACGTCTCCTTCCCTGTAACTATGGTATGTGGAAGATGTAAATCTTAAATACCATGTTAAGTGGAAAGTTCACTGTTCTCTCTTAATGTTAAAAAAATTCAGACTCCACATTTAATACCTACAAGTCACTAAGAACATCTCACCACACAGAATGTGCAGATTGTGTGTAAACATACATACATGCCATGCATCTGACTGGCCATGATCACTTCTTTTGAATGCTAAGGGGATTCTAGGAGGTTCTAGATTCTTTCCTGAATAGCACACTATCCCACAGTGCTGTTACCTCAGGCCCCATGAAGAGTGCTGATTACTTTGCTCAAGGATCCTCTTAACCATCCCAGTCTGTTCTCACAAAATCTCCTTTAAATATATTAGGCTCTCAATTGTAC